TTTATTAAAAGTCAATGACCTTGCTTTGTACAGTTCTCATGCATAATCACTGCAGACGTTTATTCAGAATTTTTACTATGTATTAACTTCTTCAACTTGTTATTCGATGTGTGGATTCATATTTATTCGAATTTATGTTTATACTTTATATATGAGAATTGAATGGTAATTACTGAGTAAACCTACTTGACATTTTTGGGTGAATATGTTTTGTGAAGCCAAATGGTCCTTGTCTGTAGTTTTTATCTTTGAGAAGAAAGTTGGTTGAATAGAAAGATCGCATCTGGATGATTATGTGTATTGGTCAGCATGTGTATAAAACCAGTGATATTTGCTGTGTGAGAAAATCATTACTGAATATGCTGCCAATGAGGTATATCTATTGGCTGTGCCCGATGGGTTATGTTAACGTTGTGCTTTCTGAAGAGAGGTTATGTTCAAAGTTAAACTGAGGAGGCCTATGCTGATGACGTAAGCATAGTGGTTAGGGGGCGTTTCTGTAGAACAGTCTCGGAAATTATGCAGGGCGCTCTGCGCTCCGTGGAATCGTGGTGTAGCGAAGTCGATCTTTCTGTTAATGCTGAAAAGACCGAGCTGATCCTATTCACTAGGAGAAGAAGGCTTGACGGACTGGTCATGCCGACCTTCTTTGGGACTAGATTAGTTTTGTCCCAGTCAGTGAAATATCTGGGAATTATCCTGGACTGCAAACTGAACTGGAGAGAGCATGTGGAACACAAGGTTAGCAAGGCTCGCAATTCGATGTGGGCTTGTAGACGTGTTGTCGGTGTAAGGTGGGGGCTTAAACCCAAAGTGGTATACTGGCTCTACACGACGATAGTACGTCCATCTCTCTTGTACGGCTCCCTGGTCTGGTGGCCTTGCATTAGAACTGAGTCAACTAAGGCAAAACTCAATAAAATTCAGCGTTTGGTCTGTATTAGCATTACAAGCGCAGTGCGAACAACGCCATTGAGTGCAATGGAAGCTCTGTTGGATCTCCCACCGTTGGATCTGGTGATCCGCGGTGAAGCGAGAGTAGTCGCTCATCGACTGTGGAGTCAGGGCAGCTGGGCTTTCTTGAATCCGGTGAAGGGGCATACTGCCATCTTAGTCGAATTAGAAAGGGAGGACCCCGTCCTTCTAAGCAGGTGTGATCGTATTACCCCTAAATATCGCTTCAACCGCAAGTTTATTGTGGAGTATCCAACGAGGGAGGAGTGGGACGCCGGTAGCCGAGGACTCTCCGAAGTGAGCGGGCAGGTCTGGTACACGGACGGCTCGGTCACCAAAGAGGGCTCAGGTGCTGGGGTCTCTGGGCCTAGAACTAGGCTATCTCTGCCTCTCGGTGAATACACCACCATTTTCCAGGCGGAAATCTTTGCGATTCTGGTTTGTGTATCTCACATTCTGGAGGAGGGTGGGCCTAGGAGAAGAATAACAATCTTATCCGACAGCCAGGCTGCAATGAAAGCACTAAGTGCCTGTGAGATTACTTCGAGTCTTGTATTGCAATGCAGGGAGGCTCTGGATTGCCTCGCAGCGAGGCATCCGGTATCGTTAATATGGGTACCGGGGCACGCTGGGATAAGGGGCAATGAGACGGCAGACACTCTGGCGAAAACAGGATCAGCCAGCAAGCTCGTTGGTCCTGAGCCAGCTCTAGGAGTAACCGCGCATAAAGCTAGGAGGAAAATGGAGACGTGGGTTGCAAGACAATACTCTCAGAAATGGAGAAGTATCTCTAGACATCTCTGCCAGGCACGAGAGCTCATTGAAGGGCCCAGTGCTAAGGATGGATGCTTCTGCCTATCTCTGGGTAGAGCCAACCTAAGGTTGCTGGTGGGACTGTTGTCTGGCCATAACACGTTAAGGCGGCACCTGCACGTGATGGGGGTGGCTGAAGATCCCTTGTGCGAACGCTGCGGAGTAGAGGAAGAGACCTCGGCGCACGTTTTGTGTCGCTGTGAAGCTCTGAGCTACTATAGGCAGACTATACTGGGGTCCATTACTTTGGACCCTCAGGACGTAAAGGAGCTTGGACTCAAGGCGATTCTCAACTTCGCTAAAAGGGCGAGGCTTGTGATTTAAGTATTGTAGAGGTGCATAAGGGCCCGCTTAAGCGGCCTATGCACTGGCTCCTTATGGTGGCCGGGATGCCTCTAAAATTTTTAAGATTCATTCATTAAACTGAGGAGAATTACGGGAAATCATCACCGCGTCTGCGTTGTGTGTAATTACTGTTAGCATGTATATGGCTTGTAATTCGACAGTGTACAGTGACTATAATTATTTCTTATCTTTCCCATTTTTGGAATTCAGCTTTGTATATGTGAATTCCAGAATGGATAAGAAAAATGCGCAACCAGTTTATAGCTTTCAATCTCAATTAAGTGTATTTGAGACAAGAACCCAATGTAACTGTCATCAACACATACATCTTACAGCTTAGACGTCCAGTAGTGCCATCTTAGAAGCAGATTTTACATCACATCAGAGCCAAAGGTTGGTAGCAAGCCTCATGACGCTTAGGCAACACGTACAACTAAGTGCTAAGTTAACATCTTGTAGAAAAACCTACATAATGTCAAAAAAAAATCGGCATAATGATACCCGTGCGGACCGCCTTGATAAGTAACGACGAGCGATAGCTTCTCAATGAGAATGTCTTGAGATAGCCAACATTAATAATGTTTCGGTATCCACCTGATCGACAAATGACGATTCTAAAAAACGATGCATGTATTTTGGAAAAACTCGGTATTTAATTCAACTGTATTATTCTATTACCCTGCTGTAGCCTGCTGAAACACAATTTACCCAATTACACTCTACAGTAACTGTCCTACATAGTGAGTGCTCGAGTTGTGAAGAATTTTTATGGAAGTCGAGCACGAAAAATAGTAAGTGTTGAGTTAATTCGTCTGAAAAAAACTACGTGAGCTCCATAATTAAATTTCAGCGTATAAACTTGGCAGACTGTACGGTTTCGTTGTTAATCGTGATATACGTTACGAGATGAGCGATGAGCTGTTGAATTCACGTGCATTAAAAATGCTCCACGTGTAGCTTTGGACTAAAAAATGTTGCAGGCCAGCGAACATTGACCGCTTTGGATAAAATAGGCGTTAATGTGTGGACAGAAAATAAAAATGGGCGTTGAGTAGGTTCACTCAGCTGATAAAGTATTACGTTCGGTACAAGTTATATCCAATGAAAAAACGACCTGGGTAGACGAACAAACGGCCATTATGCGGACGGGCTTGAGCCGCTACGAATTATGGCTTTCAAAAATATAATACATTTGTAATTGTTAGACACTATTACATTAGATTTATCGACCATTCAAAGTACAGTGTACCCTGGCATGTCAGCTATAGGTACAAATGCAATGCATGCACTAAGCGTGCTTTCAATTAAAAAACAATCAGATTAAAATGAATCTAAAATACAGCAAAGAAGTGTGAATTGGAATGCATGAAAGCAATCTAAAGACAAGAAAAATGGTACAATAAAAACCATGAATAAAAAAATTAAGGCGGTAAAATTAAGTCTCATGAGAAAGCTTTTAAAAACCACCAACACGCAGACGTAGAGTGAGGACTGAAGAAAATATTGCGGCTGTATCCGCCAGTGTTAGTGATGACCGTGAAATGTCGATTCGCCGCCGTTCGCAACAATTGGGCCTCTGTTACTCCACTACGTGGAAAATTTTGCGACAAGATTTGGGTGTAAAATCTTATGATTCAGCTGGTGCAAGAATTGAAGCCACACGACCTCCCACAACGTTTCCAATTTGGTGAATGGGCGCTGGCAACGTTGGAGAAAGATCCACAGAGCTACCAATGCATCCCGAAAAAATCACTGTTTGGTGGCATTATCGGTCCGTACTTCTTCAAAGACGACAATGGCCGGAACGTAACTGTGAATGGCGAGCGCTACCGTGCGATGATAACAAACTTTTTTTTGCCCAAAATGGAAGAGCTGGACTTGGCTGACATGTGGTTTCAACAAGAAGGTGCCACATGCCACACCGTACACGAAACAATGACCCTATTGCGAGGCGAGTTCGGTGAACAGTTTATCTCACGTTTGGGGCCCGTCACTTGGCCGCCTAGACCCGTTGGACCATTTCTTGTGGGGCCATGTTAAGGCTAATGTCTACAGGGATAAACCAGCAACGATTGACGCACTGGAAGCCAATATTGAAGCATTTATTCGTGAGATACCGGCCGATATGTTGGAGAGAGTGTGCCAAAATTGGACCTTGCGCATGGGCCATCTAAAGCGGAGCCGCGACCAATATTTACATGAAATAATCTTTAAACATTAAATTATATCGACCGTTCTATCGACTCCAATAAAGATTTAATCGTTTTTTCAAATTTTTTGTGTTTTTTTTTTTGAAAATCAAATCCTTCTCTTAAAAAATCACCCGTTATAACTCAGACCTGCGAGCGCCTTTCTAGTGCACACACTCAAGGCATATGCACAGAGTTTCCCCATTTCAAAAGTGCATATTTTGACATTCTTGAGTGGGAGCTTTTCAGATTCCTAATTAAACAAATGATCTGGGATAGCTCCAAAGGCGGCTCGTGGCAAAATAAAACAGGTGTTCTGCAAATCCGCACTTACCTATTTTTTATATGTCAGTTCGATCCTGCGCTGCTTATTGGCAGCAAATTTGTCGATCACCTTCCCGTTGAAATTTTCTATGGTCGAAATATATTCCTTTTCAATCGACAACGCTGTAAGGCGATCCTGAGTCATAGTATTTCGAAGAAAGGTCTTGATTATTTTCAATGTTGAGAAATTTCGCGCAGGCTCTGATGTTGACATAGGAGTTGTAACAATAATTTCTAATAGCTTTTTTGTTTCTTTTACTGTTTCCTCCAAGCTATTTTGTATCAAAAATTTCAAAAGAGACAGAGTTCCATGTAAATCTCGGCAATCATTCCGTGCATAAATAACGGACAACTCTGTCTTTAAAAGACTTTTTTCTAATTCGGGAGAAGCCAAGCAGGTAGTTTCCAACTTGTCATCAGGAAACTTACTACAGTATTCTCCAAAGTGTTCGGGGAAAAAAAGGATGCGGCTACCAAATGATCTTTGAATTGAAATCTGTCATTTGCAGAATTCACTATATTGTCGCATACTTCTAATGCGGCAACTCGGCAATCGTGACTGCTATTATTACGTGGTCTCCTTTTGTTGCCTTGGGGTTCAGTGCAAATACTTTTGGCTTCATTTATTATGTCATCAATTTTATTTCTCGCATCGACGATACATTTTTCAAAATTATCGATTGCCGTTTTAACTCGCACTGGCTCGGTATTTCTCTTCTGCAAGTGGTGGAACAAGGTGTCGACGTGAGGCATGACATGATGAAAAAATGTCAACCAAAACACGAAAATAGAATCGTTTAACATACGGCGAATACCGCAAGCTGCCTTGCAAACGGTTTCATTAGTGAAATTTTCTTCTATTTCTTCCATGCATCCAATGAGTGATTCTCTGTTCTGAAACACTACATTTATTCTTCGAATATTAAAATTCCAACGAGTTGTTGCTCCTTGGAGAATTTTTTCCCCACAATTCTGTTTAGTACCTCTACGCGTTGAGGAGCATTATTAAAAAATCCCGGAATATCTTTCAAATCCCCAAAGAACACCCGAACATTTGCGGAAGCAGCTTCGGACATAATCAGGTTTAACTGATGCGCATAGCAATGCACATGTGTATCTTTGTTTAATTTTTGCCTGTACTGACCTGACACATTCTCAAATGTGTATTTCCAGAATCGTTTCACGCTGATAAGTTTGTAAACCACATCCATTGTCTTCTTTTACACAGCCGCAGGTAGTCAGTGGGTCACTAGTCACTCAACGTAAGACCCAAAATACCTAAATAAAAATTTTTCGCATTCACATTTTAAGCATGTCACTCGGCAAGACCAATGTGCCAATACCGCCGAGGACCAAGCACCGACCGACCAATCAGATATCGAACTTCGCATTAGATCTTTACGGATCTGTATAAATTGCAGCACATGCTTATCCTTAAATCGCGCATTTGATTTTGTAGAGACAGACAAAAGCAAGCGCGTGCGGCTTGTATCGAAGTAGTGCACAGACCCTTTTCAAGTGGCCCATGAATAATGTTACGCTGCGGTCGCGATGAAAATGACAAGTACACAATTGCTCTGCAGAGCTTAAGGGCCAGCCGCCCATGGATAGTTCCCTGAGAATACTGTCTACAGCTTCCTCCAAAGTCAAATGTGTATCAATACTGGCACCCAAAGTTTTACTGTGTATATGGTATTGAGGTTACGGTGACACAAACTGCGTCTTGTCAGTTTATTCGCTAAAAACAACTTTTCTGAATTTATTATGTATTCAATATTTGTAGCGAGAAGTAGACCAATCCATCTGCTACTACAAAGTATTGTTGTGTCACCGAAAAACAGTATAAGGTTTTTGTTTGTATTACAATTAGGAAGGTCATTTATGTATGCTAAGTGACATATAAATCCGAACACCCAGTTTAAATGGTTTTATTTTAATAAAATTTTGTATAAGTACTTAATGAAGCATAATAAGTAAATGATAAAAAATTCAAAATGATTGCACTGCTTTAAAGCCCTTTGACCTTTAATAATGTGTGGGTGCACCCTGATGTGCTACGCATTCTCCAACGCGCCTAGGCATGCTTCTGATCAGGTGGTCAATGTCCTCCTGAGGTATCTCATTCCAGGCAACCACCAACTCCTCTCGAAGTGCTTCTAGAGTCTGAGGAGGACCTTGCAAATTGAGCAATCTCCTACCCATCATATCCCACACGTGCTCAGTTGGGGATAAGTCGGGAGATCTTGGTGGCCATGGTAACAATGTGACATCATTATGTTGAAAGAAGTCTATTGTGACTCTTGCAACATGTGGTCGGGCATTATCTTGTTGGAAAGTTGGAACTGCCAGGGTGTCAAGATAGGGTAAAAGATGGGGTTCTAGAACTTCGTGGATATAACGCTGCGCGTTCATGTTACCTCTGATGAAGATTAAAGGTGACCTGGAACCATAAGCTATAGCACCCCAAACCATAACTCCAACAGTGTGATGAACATGTCTTTCAACAAAAAACTGTGGATTCATCCTTTCACCGCGTCGCCTTCTAATCCTGGCACGACCATCGTGCATGCCTAAACAAAATCGAGACTCGTCACTAAAATCAATACTGTTCAATTCCTGATCCCAGAGTGACCGTTGTCTGCACCACTCAAGGCGATTACGTCGGTGTTCTCGAGTTAAAGGGAGGACCCAGTGTGGCCGGTATGAAAACAAGCCAAAACTTCTCATTCGTCGGTAAACACTTCGCATGCCAATAGGTCTTCCGTGTTCTGCAAACCATTCATTTGCAATGGACCTGGTAGTGGAGAAACGGTCCCTTAAGGCCAATAATCTTAGGCGGCGATCTCCGCGGTCTGTTGTTCTACGGCGGCGTCCAGTGCCCCTTGCTCTTTGCGTACGGCCTTCTCGAAGCCATGCCTGACAACACCTAACCACAGTGTCTACACTTCTTTGCACTCTAACTGCAATTGCCCGAAAAGAAAGTCCAGCTTCCCGAAGTCCCACTATACGGCCCCTATCAAACTCACTAAGTTGACGAAATCGTACAGGTCTCCGTACTCTAGGCATCGTAACCGATCGTAAAGGATGTCAAGAACCAAAATCCGCCAACGGTGATTCTTTACGGCGGCTGAAATATTCTTTTTAGAGCGTTAGTGAATAAAAAAAAAGCAGTATAAAAACCGGAATGTCCAAGTGATGAGGCTGAAAATGTTTTCACTTGTTATTTACAGTAAGATAAATACATTGACCAACTTTTATTAAAATAAAACCATTTAAACTGGGTGTTCGGATTTATATGTCACTTAGTATATATTGAGAATAAAAGTGGACTGCCGTACTGGAGGTAGTGTTGTTGAAGGTTACAAGCTGCTGTCTGTTGTTCAAACAAGATGACAAGAGAGAGAGATTGAAGTAGCTACCCGGGTAGCAAAACGGAAGAGAGAAGCATTGCATAAGGCACTCCACTGCTGGCGCAGCATACAGTTGCTTGCTATTTTTGTGAATATTCATTTATTTGTCTCGAAAAATAACGGCTATCGACCGAGTTTTACGAACCTCACCCTGCATAAATTCCTTATCTAATTTGAGTAGTATCCCTCCTCCTCAAAGCACGCATCGTCATGAATGGAGCATCACGTCACCAACGCGACATAGTATACGCCACGGCGCGACGTTCGGAATAAACCATATTTACATATTCTGTAATTAGTTCTAGTCACGTAAATCAAGTAATCAGATTGGATTACGTATAGAACTGCCGTATCCGTATGTGTATATGTATCTTGTACATGAACGAAATATTTTTCCAACTATCCAGAGGACATCGAAAGCATCTACCAAAGTATAACCACCTTCGGTTTAAGGTAAATGATAAAAATATAAAAATCAATAGAGTTAATGATACAAAATATTTAGGAATTTATCTAGATCCCCACTTGAGATGGGATGTACATATTTCTCACATACTAAATAAAATTAGATTCATAGCATATAAAATAAAATTTCTAACCGGTATATTAACTGAATATTATCTACGAATAATATATCAAGCTTTAGTCGAGCCACACATAACATATGGTATAGTAGTGTGGGGTGCTGCATGCACGACATACTTTAACGATTTAGATGTACTTCAAAGAAGAATTTTAAAATCAATGTTAGGCAAATCAAAATTATACCCAACTAAGGACTTATATAATGATGCACAAATATATGATACTAAACAACTTTACTTCTTACATACCATCACTCATTATCACAAAACTATTAGTGAACACGACATAATTAAACATAATCATAAAACCAGACATAAATTACGCGCAAAAAATGTTCCTAAACCAAACAAATCCCTAATGAAACGATGTCACCTGTATATAGCTCCAAAATTGTACGAACATTTACCAAATAATTTAAAACAATTACCCAATACATTAGGCTTCAAAAAAAAATTAAAAAAATTTATTTACACGATTGGGAGAAATCAAATTAATAAAATAATCTCAAATATTACACAATAAATGCTCTACCATTCTTACCAATAATTTCTTTTTTCTCTCTATTTTATTATATTTTGCAATTCAACATACACATGATCCATGCACAGGCGTTGTCCTCCTATGGATATATTATATTTATTTACTCGTTTCATGTTTCCTGTATTTTAGAGTAAATAAATATTATTATTATTATTATTATTATTATTATTATTATTGAATGGAGGGAACTACTGGGTTCTGTCAAGCGTGGAATTTTCACACGCATCGTCTACTGCCTTATTCAGCTAAAATACAGTATAATTCATTCAAAATTTTGATCATACATTATTTCCTTTATGTTAAAAATTACAAAATATATCATTGATCAATTTATTTAACAAAAATAGTTTTCTTTTTCACTTTTCAAATATTTCATATTAATTGCATTTTCTAAGCATAAAAGCAGTAAGTCTTATGAAAGTTAAAAATCAGTAGTTTTAAAAGTATACTGCTTTTAATCTCTGTATCATACAAGCATTGCCTTTTTATTCTTTATAACCTGATATTTACTTATGTAGTTTCTTTATACAGGGTATTTCAGTTTATTGTTGCATAACTTTAAGATTCGATAGAATTTTTAAAATTAATGCATAAGTTCTATATAAACATGAGTCGAAAAATGAGTGGCTTCCGAAATACAAGGTGTTTAAATTTACTTTCTAAAATAGTTTTTTTTAAATACTTCGAACAATATTTGATGTATAATAGTGAAAATTGGTATAGTTGGCATAGTTTTACTGTAGCCGCTAGAGGGCGCTCTCTACTGTACCTGTAGTGTATTAAAATGACCGAAAAAATTTTCTTGGTGCAATTTTTTGCTTTTTGAATAGAAAAACTGATTCTTCGCACTTTTCTGCATAAAAAAGCTCTCCTGTCAGTTCTCGTTATAGTTAGCCGTCTTTCAGATATTTTGATTTTTAAGGTTCGATGTATTTTTAATTATTTATGGGAAAATAATATTTCTTTTTTTCCATTTTCGATTTGGGCATCACAAGTAATTAAGATGATCGTTTAGATTGTGTTTTTAAACGCAGCAATAATTCCTAACTCCAAATAAACACAAAAAAACAGAATACTAATTTGTTTAATTTTCCAATACTATTTTTAACAAATTAAATTAATTATTTACAACTAAAATGCTATTGGATAGTTAGGACAAACATACAAAATCTAAAGTAGTTGCTCGAAATGTAAACCCAATTGTTCAATACACAATTC